TCATTAACACAGATGTCCACCCCTGCTTCCGATCTCTGCCTGTGTCTGCAAAGCTCATTTCCAGCCTCTAACAACTACGTTTGAAATATAATATATTTCATATTATCAGGTCCACCCCTAACCAATTTGGCGCCCTAGGCAAGATTGTAGGTGCGCCCCGTCACATTGCATGATCGCAGTAAATTTCACTGCTAGTGTATAGTCATAAGAAACTAAATAGCTTTTTGACCGACTACAAGCTGGGAAAACGTCAGATACATATGCCAATGCAATTAACATTATTGCTGAATAGATCTAATATTTACACATTTGCTTGATGGAGGAATGATGGGGGTAGTTACATATTACTATTTTCCATAACATCTATGCCCTTCCATAACATTAGTTGACGTTAAAACTAACAGATAGCACTATAGCTATTTATTGATTAGCAATGTTATGCCATATCTGTCAACGTTAGGATGTAAAAAATATGGGACAACAAATAGCTTCAAATGATAGAATACATAGCAAACATTATAAAATATTGACAATAAAATAAAAGGTTTAGCCTATTAAAATCAATGGCCTATACAGAAATTAAACATGCTATAAAATCTACTTCACGTTTGATTGTATTTGCATATTGATTAAAGTTACCATAGTTATTTAGTAAAGAGCAGCAAATGAATCTCTCGTTGTGTTTTGTTTGATAGGTGTTCATGTGAGAATGCACAGATCTATAATGAAGCATTCCACTACTTTAGTAACTGTTTGTGTCATTTAAGAGAAAATTAGTAAAAGTAGTTTTCCGACGCTCTCCTGGCTGAACGCATATTGCGAGGGCTTAAACGGAGCAGTGGTCGTAATGTCGAGCGAAAAAAAAGAAGAAGACAGCTGTGAAACATAACCAGCTTTGTCTTTTTGTAGGAAACACGCTTTAGATCTTTTTAGGGTAAGTAATATAGTTATTGCCGTCTATCACTAAATGTGTCAGAAATATCAAAAACAAAACCAACTTAACCGCGCTCATTTATGGCGCCCCCTGGATTTGCAGCGCCCTTAGCGTTTGCCTATACTGCCTATACCACGGGCCGGCCCTGCATATTATAACATAACTGTCTATAACAAAACTGCCTCCTTTCATTTTCATTGAAAACTTGGAAGTCTCTTTTGCTGAATATCAGTTTTAACAATCAATATTAGCCATTATAAATGTGTAACGAACAATAAGTTAATACAATATAGGAAATAAATGCAAGCAATCAGTCAAAATATGCAGAATCAGTGTATGTGTTTACAAAAATTCATATATTAACTTATCTTTGCGCTCAGCCAAAAGAGTTACCTAAGAATAAGTAATCAATTCAAATACCAAAGAGTAGTTAAAATAGAGACAAGATTAATTAAATATCATGTTTAACAACTATAGATCCAGCGGTAGATCCTTGATGAACTGTCATGAGCTGTCAGCTGGGGAGGTGTGCTCAATGCACCCACTGACTGCCTGGAGCTCAGACGTGCTCATACGCTGCCCCATGCATTGATTTGTTAAAAGCGTCAGATCTGAGTGAAATTTCAGCTAATCCTGCACAAGAAAAGCAGGGTAGTGTTCTCCAGCTTGACTAGCTGTAAATTATTTGATTAGACATTGTAATAATAATAGTAATGATAATAACAAAGAAAACAACAACAGCAATAATATAATTACAGTAATGTGATTATTTGGTTTGCTCATAGTAGCCTGACTGAGCTTTGGAGACAGGACTAATTTGATTTTTGTAACACTATTAGCCATAATAGGAGGGGAAAATGATTATAAAAGAGGTAAGTGATAGAAGTCTTGCCTTTTATTTTTTTCCATGTTCATAACAACTTCAAAAAAGAGATGCTAGTGATATTTACTAGTCAGTTATTTATGAGGAGCCCCACAAGGAATCCATTTCTTCAGATTTCTGCAGATTTTTGGCCCATCATTGAGTGTATTTATATACTTGTGTAAATGTGTAAATTTACATTTATTCAGTTTTTAATTTTAGTAATATTATTGACTAATAAGTGTTCATATGATTTATCTACAATACAGTTTGTCCATTAATATTTTCTGTCTTTCAGAGGATCATATGAGAGACTTGCTTTGTTTACCAAATAAGTGGATCTAGGATTTGCATTGTAAACACTAAATAAAAGTTAAAAAGTTATTATTTTTTTATTTCATATATTAAGTTTTTAGTTACAATACTCCCAAAATAATTTCGCATAAATCCACAGATATTTTTTTTACGAAATTCTCTTCAGAAATAGCTAATTTATTTTGGTTCTGTCTGGCCCTACTTACTGTTTGAGTTATTTATGATCTTTTTGTCTATCCAAAGGAAAACAAAAAGTAGATAAACAATGATATTCTTTGTGTCATTTGAGTTGGATATAATCTAAAAACTGAAAAGCGGTCAGCGCTAAAAGCCTAGTGGTTAGTGCGTCGACAGACAGCCCCGAGCTGCTCTTGGTGACCCGAGTTCGATTTCTGGCTTGAGGTCCTTTTGCCGATTCTTACCCTCTTTCTGCTGACCATAATTCCCTGTCTGTAAAAAATCTCCACTGTCCTATCCTAATAAAGGTGAAAAAACCCTAAAAAAATTATCATAAAAAAGTGAAAAACGAGCGATTTGTTTATTTCAGAGTTCATTAAATCTGTTTAAAAAGCTGAATTTGTTTTTATCACTTGTACATTTTAAAAAAAAACATTTATGTGTAACTCAATGTTTTTTTTCATTTAGTTTTTCATTGCAGTTTGATGTGATATATTTATTATATTTAATCATTATATTTAAATAAATGATTAAATACAAAAAAAAAATCCAAAAATAAATACGGAAAATACGTGAATGATTTAAGGACATTATGAGAACAATTAAAACAACACACTCATAGTTTTTTGTATATCGTCAAAAAGAAAACATAAAACTGATTTGTTGCTTTTCAATTCTAAATCAATTGTGTATTTATTTGACCCATGTTGTGGCACCCCACCCTTTTTTTCCCCCTAAAGTATACACTACCTGACAAAAGTCTTGTCGTTAATCCCAGTTGTAAGAGCAACAAATAACAACTTGACTTCTAGTTGATCATTTGGAAAAGTGGCAGCAGGTAGACCTACTGGAACCCACATGGACCCAAGATTATCACAGAAATCAGTCAAGTTTGGTGAAGGAAAAAGCATGATTTACATTCAGTATGGGGGCGTGTGAGAGATCTGCAGAGTTGATGGCAACATCAACAGCCTGAGGTATCAAGACATTTGTGCTGCTCATTACATTACCAACCACAGGAGAGAGCAAACTCCTCAGCAGAATAGCGCTCCTCATACTTCAGCCTCCACATCAAAGTTTCTGAAAGCAAAGAAGGTCTAGGTGCTCCAGGATTGGCCAGCCCAGTCACCAGACATGAACATTAATGAGCATGTCTGGCATAAGATGAAGGAGAAGACATTGAAGATTAATCTTGATGAACTCTGGAAGTCCTGCAAGAACGCTTTCTTTACCATTCCAGATGACTTTATTAATAAGTTATTTGAGTCATTGCAGAGATGTATGAATGCAGTCCTCCAAGCTCATGGAAGTCAGACACAATTATTAATTCTTTTTCTACTGCAGCATGACTTTATATTCTATACTGTACATTATTTCTGTTGTCTAAGCAAAGCCAGACCTTACTGTCCTAAAGAAATAATTAAAAATCAAGGCATGATCATATTTTATTTGGGTAAAATAAGCATAATCTAGATGCTTTTGCCTTTCATATAAGCCACTTCTGATAACAAATGATCAACTAGAAGTCAAATTATTATTTGTTGTTGCTAAAACTTGGATAGGCGACAAGACAGGTAGTATATACATAGGATGGTACTTTTAGCATCTTAAATGTAATCTTTATTTAATTATTCATTTATTATTTTAAATAGTTGTTGTTATTCTCACTATTTTTCTTTTGTTTTCTGTCCTTCCAAAAATAATAATATACAAAATAAAATTCACGTCTTTTTGACAATACATTCTATATTAAGGCTGGTCTTAATAGGAGAATATATTCTACCCATTTTCTTCATGTCTCATTAAACTCCTTAGTCTGTAAATGACGATTCATTCAACTCAATGTTTTAACTAGTTGCAAAAGCTGGATAATCATTCAAAACCTGCTGATTAGCTATTAAAGTATTCAATAAAATTCAATTAATCAAATTATTAATCAGTTCATCATTCTAATAATCATAAAACAATAGTTTTTTGCAGCCCTGTTTCTCTCTGGAAGTTTCCAGTAATCCCACACAGAATTGTAGAATTCAGTCCTAAACAGTGGAATTAGCTTTACAATCCTAGAAGATTCTGGACTAATCAAAAGAAGTCATCTGCACTTAATCAAATCACAATGTGGACAGTGTCCTGTGAAGATTAAACTGCAGAAATGCTGTTCTGTCTTTTGTGTGTGTGAATGAATGGTGTAGCTTTGTTTAATCCTCAAGTGCATGACTCCTCATGGTTTTTTTTTCTGTAAGAGGACATGAACATATGACCTTGATCTACTGAGAGTCACTTCACAGCTCTTTAAAAACAGTTTTGTTTGTAAATTGTAAAGTAATTCAAGCATCTTCGCATCAAAATACTATTTAATTGATGTTTTGTTGTTGAACTCTTAATAAATAGTTTCAAACTGAATTGTTTTTTGCTAACGTAAGACTTTTAAGATTAAGATTAAGATTTAAGAGTTTAAGATTTACATCAAGAAGATATTTGATTAATTTCACAAGATAATATAGAGAAAAATGCACAAGCCTCTTGATTTATTAAAAAAAATCACATCACAGCCATCACATTCAAAATCGAGCACATTCAGCCCAGCACAATGCATTATTCTGGATTTTTTGTAAGTGTCATTATGCAGAAATGTTATAAAAGCTACTACTTTGTTCGTTTATAACAAGTTCAGTCTTAAATTAAAGTGTGAAAATGTTTGAATTTGTCCAGGACCAAATGAACCAAGTACGAGTGTGAACAAGCCTCAAGAAAAACCATTAGTATGACTGTTGTGGACTTAACCAGCGTCATTTCTCCAGTGTGTGTCGACAGAAATCAACTTTTACACTAAACATCAGTCAAGGTAAGCCAAATCGATGTTTTTTTTTCTACTGTGGTATTAAGTGAGTACTTTTTCAGTTTCCTAGTGGCTGTGTATTTATATGCACATTTACACATAATAGAGGAAGCACAAGATGACAGATAATCTGAATCATTTGGAGAACTGATTGGCAGCATAGTGCTCATACAAACACAGGCACTCCTGTAGTTCGATGTTGTGAACAGATCAAACCGTATGTAGTAAATTAGTTTGTATTTGGCTAAGTTTACTGTTTGTATAGTGTATATTGATAGTGATTATTTTCTTGCTTAATCCACTGAACTTTTATGTTTTGCAATTGTCTTGATTACATAGTATGATTACTAATATTCACTGATAAATTATATTTGTATTATTATTTTAAAGTTAATAATGACTTTTCCACATAATAATTCCATGAGGATTCATCTGTGGTTCATTTTAATTAAGTTTTTGATCGTGGACGTGTACTGGTATAGATGGAAGACACTCATCAGATTGCATTTCTGTACATTTACTAAAGTAAACATTGTGCAGCAATATTCCTCCGCATTTATTTGCGAAAGATTAAAGATTAAAAAAAAAATAGATATTCATTAAAATGTGACCTGAAGACTTAAGAGATTAAGGCGCTGTTTGTGTTGGTTTTCTGCCAGGGTTTGCTCTTTGATTAAATATTGCCATAAAATTCCAGTGGTAGAATCTCAGAGGCAGCACGAAATGCCAGTACAAGACATATAAGTCACAAATAAATATATATCATTATATAACACAAAAATTAAGTTTTAATGCAAGGAATTCATCATTTGTTATTATTAAATATACTTACGTTTTGAACCTAAAGTTTGGTGTCTAAAAAAAGAACCACAAGATGGAGACAAACATTGGACTATCTTGCCAAAATAGACCGTTCATGGACACCACTCCAAATGAATTTAAAGTTTGCACGAATAAATAGTGATTTATGATTGTGTCTAAGGAGTTTTTACTTATCCGGTTTGCTTCGAGAGGGAGAGAGATTATCATTTTTAGCAGTGAACTGAGGAATAATTCACTATGGGAACAATCACAAACATATTAAAAATCCCAGCATGGCTGCATACCATGCCTTGTGAATGTGTATGCATTTTGGGAAACCTTTTGCTGAAGTAAGAAGTGTAATATCCTAGATTGACAGTTCCTAGCTTGATTTAATTAAATGGACATTAGTTAGTAATGCATAGCCTTTATTGTGAATTTTGATGTATAATTGGACTTTCAGCAGTGAAAATTAAACCACACTGAACTTGTAACGTCCACTACAATGTGTATGTATCACATTATGTATGTGTGTTGCCCTTTAAGAGCTGCACCCCAGCACCCCAGTGTTTGCGTTGCGGGAGTTAGTCTGCGTGTGTGAGAAGAGGGAGAAAGGAGTGTGTGCGCTGCTCTCCCCTCAAAATGCTCTACTTTTAAATATTGTTTACTTTTATTTTGTGTTTTTGAACTGTAATTCTTGTGACGCTGAAGGAGGCTGACTATAAAGGTTTGAGTCTGAAATTATCTTTTTGTCTCGAAGCTCTTTTTTCCACTGGCTATCCGGCTATAAGCGTCACAAACTGAACTAAACTGAACTCTGAAAACTGGACGGACACAGTTTCAATTTACTACAACTTCTATGTTAAGCTGCTTTGACAATCTACATTGTAAAAGTGCTATAGGAATAAACAGCAGTTGAATTGAATATACATATACAATAGAAAAGTAGTACAGACTGTAGTATTCATGCTGACTGTAAATACTACTAGAAAAGTAAAGTTCGTAGACAAACTTTATGTTGGCTTGAGAAAGCCTCGACTGAAAGTTTGAAGATGTAGTTTTTAAGAAGATTGAAACAGGCATAGATAGAAAAGTACATACATGTTAGCATGTTTTTAGTATGGATTGGCTTGTTTCTTGCTACTGTAGGTGGTTGATGGGGTGTTTCTGAGTGGTTGCTAAGATGTTGCTAGGGTGTTCTGAGTGGTTTTTATGCTGTTGCTAACATAAATTGCCATGGATCTATGAATTAGCATGTTGCTAGTATGGTTTTAGTATGAATTAGCATGTTGCTAGTATATTTATGGTATGTTTGTTAGCATGTTTCTAGTATGGATTAGTATGTTGTTAGTATGGATTTGTATGTCTTTAGTATGTCCATGTAAAGTCAATGGCAGTTTTTTTTTTTTTTTTTTACAATGGAGGACTATGGGACAATTGCTAGGGTGTCATGAGTGGTCGCTAGGGTGCGGCTAGTAAGTTGAAAGGTCATCAGTGATTGGCAGATTGTTAGTCTGAGTTAAATGAGCCCAACCAGCCTGATCTCAGGAGAAAACGTAAGTATTTTATGTTTTGCTAGTTTGGAGGCTAATTTATATGAATTTGTACGAGTTCAGTTGTACGAAAATGTACAATTTTAAAAGGGAGGCGTGGCACCTAACCCCACCCCTAAACCCAACCATCATTAGGGATGAGCAAATCGTAATAAATTGTACGGATTACATTGTACAAATTCATATGAATTAGCCACTAAATCAAAAAGTTACAAATTGCCGTGAGATTGTGTTGGCCCAACCTTAAGTCTGTATGACAGTCTGTCGGAAAGTTTTGAGGTCACAAAGTTTGGTCCAATGTTAAGTCGATGGGACTTTACCAAATTTTCCGGGTCAGTTTTGGGAAAACCGTAAATCAGATCGGTTGGAAAAGATAAAGCAACTTAATTCAATGTAGTTTGGAGATAGTTTGGTGGTTGTAGTATGACCGGTCTAAGAGGAGATGCGTTCTTAAAATAGTCTAAGAAGAAGAAGAAGACTAATAAGAATAATAAGCTTATGTAGTATAGCAGTATGTTGGCTTTCTCAAGTCACCATACATATATACTATACATATATACTATATATATATAATGCAATATAAATACAATTCACCAGATCACTTGAATAGCTCTATTGGGAAATCATTAATTCATTTATTTTAGATTGATATATATATATAGTAAATAAATAAATAAATAAAAGTTACAGTTAGATACAATAGAGCAGGTTAAATTTATGGATTTGTGGGGAGTCCAACGGTACCGGTATAAACTAATTCAGTTTCAGAATTTGAATAATCGAACATAAAACAACACTGTATAGTTTTTATTGTAGAAATAATTTTAAAAATGACTCTTTTTTTTTTAAATTTCAATTAGTACATATTCTTGTGCCTGAGATTTTCACTCCATTAGAGTTAAACTCTGCAGTGACTCCACAAATCTCATGGGCTCTGAACTGTAGATCATGGTTAACTCTAAAATAAATTCTAGTATAAAAGTAGTGAAGGTCCTGCGATGTGACTATTCCAAATGTGCACATTGCGAAATCGACGCTGTAACGATATATTGTGCAGCCCTATTTTGAATAGTTTTAATTGTTCAAACATGTAATTGTGCACACGCCTTTGTTAAAAAAACAGTTAAATCAGTTATTTTTGTAATTTGTAATGTTAAAAAGAAAAGTTCAATTGTTAAAAGGATTCATAATTAGGGTTTGTCTTGTAAAATCATGACCTGTTATTGCTATACTCAATATTTAGTTTTTACAAAAATATTTGATCATTTTAATGGTGCATTGGGCAAATATTTAGTAATGTGTTCATATTTAGTGCTCATTTATGTCTCCACTTTGCTGGGTTTTATTTTAGGTCTGGGATCATTGTTTTTTTTACGTTTAAATAAACATTAATAAGTGCAAAGTTGCAAAATGATAAGTGATAGCAATGTTTATTAAAAAAATAATATTAATACTAAAGGCAGGTCAAATGTAACATGGTGCAGAAAACAGATCAGTCTAATGTGACAAATGGTGCTTTATGTTTTCTGTCAACTGCCTAAACTTTTAATTCATGGTGGCGTTTGACATTTACACTCTTCAGAAAATCCAACTCAATCTCACGACAAATGAAACGGAACAGTTTTGTGCTGAATTGAAGCTAAATGAATGCAGACCTCTACACTACCTGATAAAGGCTTATCGCCTATCCAAGTTTTAGGAACAACAAATAATAACTTGATTTCTAGTTGATCATTTGGTATCATAAGTGTCTTATATGAAAGGCAAAGGCCTCTAGATTACACTTATTTTACCAAAATAAAATATGATCATGTCTTGATTTTTAATTAGTTCATTAAGACAGTAAGGTCTGACTTTGCTTGGACAAAAGTCTTGTCATTTAACAGAAATAATGGACAGTATAGAATAAAGGAAAAAAAAATCATACTGCGTATGACACCCATGAGCTTGGACGACTGCATCCAAGGGCCATTCTTCAACTACGGGCACTTTTAAAGTTATTAAAAAAACTTGTAAAATCAACGTAACATAGCCTCATAATTAAACAATTTGTCTAGATGAAAGTCAATTCCACCACATCTCAATATACAGCTTATTTCAAAATGAAATAAATTATGGCAGTCAAACACTATCCAAGATCATTTTTGTATCTAGTTTAACCAATCTTTCCACAATATATATATATATAATAATTATACATTTGTCAATTAAATAAATTAGTCCCTTAGGACCAAATGCTGAATTGTACACCTGTCACACCCTAAAATGTTATATTAATTTAAAAGATAAAATGTTAAACGATTATTAGAAAACAAATAAACTGAATTTGCATATTAAATAGAGCATGAACTCATACATTGTGAATACACTTTTAATGTGTGATGAGAACTTTTTAAATATGTATTTTTTAATGTGTGTGGTGATAAAAATGACAGTGGTGGAAATGACATTTCAACAGTTTATTGTGAAAAAAAAAAAATAGCTTCACTGATTAGCTTTGAATTGATACTAGCCTTTCATGACTACAAAACACTCTTATTCACCTTGATTTGTTTGGTTTTTAAAAACATCCTTGAAGGTACAACATGTTTGGAAATGACGTAGAATAAATGTATTTCCTTATCAAGCAATATTTACCTTAATTTTTCTTCAGATGTCGTTGATAAAAATGTAAATTTCTTCCATTTTGAACACACAATTCATTTTCATAGAAACCACCTAAATAATCTTTCATACAAACTTTTTAAAGCGACATTACAGTGTTGTGGTGGAAATGACACTGATACTGTGCGACTGCTATATTTTGTATAAAAATATTATTGATAATAGTCTCACATTAATCACTATAAAATATTAAAATTATTTCACTAGTGCTTAATTAAAATACATTAATAGATACCAGATAAATAATATTTTAAAATGGTATTTTCATTGAAGTTTAAAACTCTGGGTGTGCGACAAGGTGAAAACTGTGATTTTTGACACCTAAAACGAGGTTGAATAATATGAAAAGAATATAATAGAAAGCTAGTAAATATTTTTAAAGTAGTTTTTATTGTTAGTTTGACAAAGAAAGAGGAATTTGAACAAAATTATAGATATTTTTAGATATATGATCAAAGGACATAAAAGTGCCCATAGTTGAAGAATTACCCCATACATCTCTGCAATGACTTTAATAACTAATTAATAAAGTCATCTGGAATGGCAAAGAAAGCGTTCTTGCAGGACTCACAGAGTTCATCAAGATCCTTTGGATTCATCTTCTATGCCTCCTCCTTCATCTTACCCCTGACATGCTCAATAATGTTTATGTCTGGTGACTGGGCTGGCCAATCCTGGAGCACCTTGACCTTCTTTGCTTTCAGGAACTTTGATGCAGAGGCGGAAGTATGAGAAGGAGCGCTATCCTGCTGAAGAATTTGCCCTCTCCTGTGGTTTGTAATGTAATGGGCAGCACAAATGTCTTACTACCTCAGGCTGTTGATGTTGCCATCAACTCTGCAGATCTCTCGCACGCCCCCATACTGAATGTAGCCCTTAAATCAAGCTTTTTCCTTCACCAAACTTGAGTAATTTCTGTGAGAATCTTGGGTCCATGTGGGTTCCAATGGGTCTTTTGCAGTATATAATTGGGATGCAGTTCAACAAATGATTCGTCGGATAAATCTACCTTCTGCCACTTTTTCAAATGATCAACTAGAAGTGAAGTTATTATTTGTTGCTGGGATTGATGATTGAAGACGATTGTCTGGTAGTTTATGTCCAATATTCTTTGAAAACCCTGTAAACTGAAAACTTTCTAGAAACTGACATGCTCATCAATTGAAATGATGACTGGGCAAACGTCATTTGCCAACTGGATGTGATGGCAGGAAAACTATCATCCTCAGTTAAATTCTGAAACATCACCAAAAAGACATTAAAAAAGTAACACGATCACAAATTTAACATGCGTTGACATGCAAGTAGTAAATCCACTCTTTGAATCCTTTACACATGCTCAAAAATACAGGTAAAATATGAAATGGAGGTGGGTCCAGATTAAATACTCTCTTTAAGAAGCACTGGCTAAGTGGTGTAATGATTTGGCTACTGATGTTTTTCATTGAAAGAGGACTGTCTGTATTTCCAGTTCCTACAAACAGAGGAAGGCTACTTGTGTACAGTTTAGAGTTTCAGTTTACTCTGCTCCGGGAGATCAATAGAAATGCATTCACCATGCCAACAACTCCAAACCGAAAAGGCTACCGCATGTCAAATATCACATAACAAATATTGTTTATTCCACTCTACATTGCTCATGTATCTTTTCAGAACTGTACAGTAAACACAAATAACACTGCTTGTGCTTTTATTGTCTGTTTCTATGAATCAAGGTCTGGATCATATGGTAAGTTTGTTGAGTTAAAATGGGGATAAAGTTCTGTTCATTCATGAGCATTTTTACTTTAAGACATGTTTGTTTCTAACTCACAACGCCATTGATTGATTGCGTTATCCACCAAACAAGAAATCTATTCACTCAAGCATAGTTATTTATTAACTGGCCTCTGAAGCATGAGTACGTTGAACTGTAAAGTAGCATTAAGAATCATTGAAAGAGGAATATCCAACGTGGAGGGACCAAAACAAAAAAGGTATTCAAGTTTTTACCCTTACCATCAAGTACAATTTAAACTTCTCAAAACATTTTTCTTATCATAGAAACACAGGATGAAGTTTCCGGCAGTTCAGCGCGAGACATGGCTCGTTTTGCTCACTTTTCTGCACATGTGGATTGGATCAAGTAATGGATGCCTTTATCCAGGCGGTAAGATCAAGTCATTTAGTGGGAATTCATGAATTGTTTCAGTTGCGTTATAATGCTAGAGTGTCTGCAGTTGTCTTAAGTTTTATTATAAGTTGATGAATCAATTTAGAGAGATTGAAAAATTATTTTAAAAGTCTTAAATGCTATTGTACATCGTATTAAATAATTTTTTATTATACAATGCTTAGTTGTATGCTAATGTTTGCCTGCATTTAATCTGTGAATATTGTGTTGCTGTGTAGTTTATGAAATTGATAAAAGCATGCTAGATTTGACGTCATGGTTTGTTTAATGCAGTAAACGCCGTTATTCTTGCTGCTGTATATTAGCATTTCATTATATGAATAACGTTTCTTACAGCCAGTATTCAGCCAATATACTGTAAGCTAATATGTTGCCAATGTTACCGGTTGAAATTAGTGACGAGGTTTAAAAATGTCTTAAATTTTACTCATATGTCGAGTTCAGACTGCATGATTTTAGCCTCGATTTTGACTTGCCCAGGTTTTGAAAAATCGCTAACAAATGGCTGAAATCACTGGCAAATCAGTGCTCATTCACGTAAGTAGGGCTTGACATTAACTTTTTTGATCACCAGCCACAGTGGCTAGTAGTTTTCCAACATTACTGGCCACTCTGCATTTTAACTAGCCACAATTTTTCATTTAAAAAAACAAATATTTTTATATGCATAAATACTACTTTGACATACTAAAATGACTTGATTTAGATTTTGTGTTTTGTCCACATGCCTTCTCATTCATTTCACATTTTGTGTGTCGTGTATGAGCAAATAGGTCATGGTTTCATAGTGTTACACAGCAATTAGTTTTTATTTCACATGAGTTTTCAGAACTTAAAATTAAGGATTTACCAAATTTATCTCTGACCACACCAAACAATAATTATTTCTTAGCCACAAATTCTAAATGTGTCAAAACAAGCTAAATATAGCTGTATACTATACTTTTTATTTAACAAAACATTTCTTAAAAAAAACAAAGAAAAACGATTGACTTTCAAAAATAATTAGTCATGTATCAAAAATATGCAGTAATCTGTCCTTGCTAAAGGTATCTCAAATCACCAGTTAACTACACATAATTGGAGAGTTAATCTCATATTAAAGCAATTTTGTTGTAAAAAATGATAATTAAACCATATAAACAAAAATAACCATAAGCAAAAAAAGCAGTTGAAAAACATAGCCTACTTTGTGATAGTGGAAGGATGATCACAAGGGTAAGGTCAATTAATAATCTGTTCAAAGCGAAAGCAACCGGTGCTGCTTACAAAAAGACATATTTGGAGCTCTTGAAAGCAGCAAGACTGTGGGTGCAGGACCATAACTTTTTTGTCTGAATATTTGAGATCCGATCACAGTTGCTTTCCAGGCAGGTACATCAGCTGTTAGCGCGAGTATGCATCCTCTCATTTGTTATTCATCTGCTTTCTTCTGCTTAGTCGTGCTGTTTCTCGATTCTAAACATTTGCAAGCATATTGGGTCATTCTTATAGTCGAACCCTGCTTTTAAGAAAACCACAATTTAAAAATTATTTTCAACCAGCCAAAGTGGCTAGTGGGAGTGACCGTCTAACCCGCCACAGCTGAAATCTACCAGCATTTGGCAGGTTGACGGGTGTTAATGTTAAGCCCTGCACGTAAGTAACAATCACACAGTATGAACTATCAAAGACGCAATTTGAGAGAATCGGCGATGAGACGCCGACACCCATCAGATATTTGGCATGCTAAGTATCTGGAGCTGTTGGCGATTCAAATCATGCTGTGTGAAATATGTTATGATTGAAAATAACATCTGCGATCACCTACAGCCAATGAGAGAGCAGCATCCACTAGTAGGGATGGGTATAGAAATCTTTGCGGGACTGAAATTTGAATCCCGCTCCCGCCAGGTTTTATACCGCTTTCGCCATATATTCTTTGTCCGTATATTTATGTCTTTGTTCAGCCGCTGCCTGCCCTGCCCCGTTTTCTTCCCGACCTGACCATTCATTTATTCATTTTCTTGTCGGCTTAGTCCCTTTATTAATCTGGGGTCGCCACAGCGGAATGAACCACCAAATTATCCAGCACGTTTTTACACAGCGGATGCCCTTCCAGCCGCAACCCATCTCTGGAAAACATCCACAAACACTCATTCACACACACTCATACATTATGGACAATTTAGCCTACTTAATTTACCTGTACCTGGACTGTTGGGGAAACCGTAGCACCCGGAGAAAACCCATGCGAACGCAGGGAGAACATGCAAACTCCACACAGAAACGCCAACTGAGCAGAGGATCGAATTTGCCACCCAGCGACCTTCTTGCTGTGAGGCAATAGCACTACCTACTGCGCCACTGCTTTGTCCACCCGACGCGACCCGAGCATTCCCGCTCAATTTATATCTGGTTTTCAAAAGCTCACGTTAAATTGGGTACTACCAAAAGAGACAGATAACAGATAAAATTGTAGGTTGTGCAAGGATTGTAGGCTAAATGTCAGTTTCGTTTGCCCCTTTGTGATGAGACATGAGTGCTGCGTGACGTGCGGTGAGGTTTGTGGCTGGTGAAGCACTGACTCTCAAAGTCAGATTTACAAACATATCACTCAATTTGCCAACTACCAATTGAGTTTCATATATCATATCAGCATTCTTTCTATACACATGGCAGGTACAATAATGAGCCAAGGAATAATGTATAGTGATTAAATATGCCTTCCAGAAAACACCCAGCTGGATGTTACAGAGTCCAGTCAGCCTATTACAAGCGACACACACACACACACACACACACAAAAGAGCACCACGGTGGATGCGTGCGCTCTCCCTCAGTCACACAAACACAGAGCACCACGGTGGATGCACGCGCTCTTAGATTCACATTTCACATTTAGGTGCTTTATTGGCATGACAAATAACTCTACATTTGTATTGCCAAAGCAGTGCAGCCAGAGCTTAATTTGTGCCGGAACACATCTCTGAAATCTTATTCGGCACCTAATTTTAACAATCCCCCTCTTCAACCGCCCTCCTCCCCTGTCCGCTGTTCACTTTCACTTTCTTCCGTGACTCCCCAACCCTCTTCACTTTCATCCACGACACCCCACCGACAATGTACAATGGTTTGAAGTAAAATGACTCTCAGTTTTTAACTTTTCTTCTGGTGAAAAATCAACATGTTTGCCTTTTCTGGCAGAAGCCAGGATCTTTCTTGGTTTATTGTGCTGGAGTTGAAAATACCCTCTTTGAGTTGCGACATGCAGTTAAATGAGATAATGTTTATGATTTTTCATTAACACACTCACATAAACGAGGGGTAACAGTGTTTTGGGAGTTTATCTGTGTTTTTAATACAGTTTTGGAGCATCTTGTGAAGGCTTTTATACTGGATGCGCTTGCCGGAAACACAAGCATTTCTTATGAGAGATTGCCAACTGTGCAGACGAATTTAAAAAGGTTGGTCAGTTAAATTATGCTACTGTAAGTAATGCTTATTCAGCAATAATTCTCCAGTACAGATAGCTGAACCGTTAATGTCAGAGCTTATCGATACTTCTGTCTTTTATAATTTAGCACCGATACCGATAAAGTACCAAGTTTCGGTACCCATCCCAATCTACTAGTATAGGTATCTGCAGGCCAGCAGGAGATCGGGGAAAAGTTAAAAAGGCTCATTTTCAGTCTATCTGAACCCAAGAAATGGAGGAAAAACTAGTGTAAGTTTGGCAGCAGCACCTGTGTCTGTTTGACGTGTCACCTAAGCAAAACCACAACTGGGCCGATAAGGAAATAAAGTTAAGTAGAAATTGCTAATTTAATAATTTTCTACCCCACTAAAGGCTTGTTTCTTATTATTTAGTTAATAACAAGTCAAATTTTTTTATAAACTAACTTGGAGAGGATCATGTGCTTATGATTGCTAGCAGCTGATCCCGCATTATTCAATTTATGATTCATCAATCAGACAATTCCTAAGCCACTATAAATAGCCAAAGTTCCATATAACAGCCATCTTCATTTTGAAGAATTCCCTCTTTCACCCCTACTCCACCTCCTTTCCTAGATGGGTGGCACAGTGGCCCAGTGGTTGGCACTGTTGCCTTACAGCAAGAACGTCAATGGTTCTAGTCCTTACCAAGCCAGTCAACATTTCATTGCGAAGATTACACATTCTCCCCGTGCTCACGTGAGTTTCCCCCCGGTTTCCTCCCACCGTCCAAAAACATGCAACTTAAGTTAACTGACTAATCCAAATCGGCACCATAGACATGCTCCTAGTAAGCAGTTATCTCTTAAGAGCAATCACTATCTGTTCATTAGCTACAACCACAGGGGAGTTCTCGAGATCTACCTGAGCTCAAACTCCACTCTCGCCTTGCAAATGGGAAGGATCCGGGCTTAAGGATCTTATGAGCTCAGGGCTCTCTCCCGAGACAGCATGCCAAACAAGCTTTATAATCAATCATCAGCTAAGTGTGAACTCTTGAAATGACCTACTATGTTAGCTTTCGTTGTTTCCATGCCACTTCTCGCATGTGTTTGGTTGTGAGACGTAGTTTGGACAAAGTTGTCTGCAATTCTTCCTATTGTAAAGTTATGCAGTGTGAAACCCCCTGTCACGGATCCATCTTGCATTGTAAACACAGCACCATCAGAGCGCTACCCCGGATAGTCGTGCAGGGTAAAAACATCTGTGACGCCACTACTTTGAAAATCGTACAGTCTGAACTCGCCATTAGATTTACTGTCTAAAGCCTGTATATACCCTGAATGCTGTTTTACGGTGATAACTCTTTCATACAGGTGATTATGAGTTTAAATTGAAACTGGACAAGAATGTCATCCCTGCTTTGGCGGGATGTGCACAGATCCCCTGTGCGTATTCTGCTCCAATGAGAACACATTCAGGCCGGCTGGTCTGGTTCAGCGGGAGCCCCGACTTCCCCATCAGCCCACGAGATATGGAGCGTAAGGACGGCCTGCTGAGACCACTGGCTTCTATTCTAGAAGAATGCAGCATCGTTCTGTGGGACTTCAGTGGACATGAAAGAGTCGAAGAATATGGAGTCATGTTAGAATGGGGAACCAATGAAACACATGTTTACGATGAGAGAGTCGCGGTGTCTTATTCTGCTGGTATGTGTTTTATTTTGTTAGCACACATTGATAGTCTTAAGGTGAACAATTAATCTGTGCAAGTGAATCCACTGGGGGAGCATATTTAATGTGTTGTGAGTGAAAGCAAAGATAAAACCCCACCCCCTACTTAATGTTCCATTTCAGCTGGAAATACTTTATATTAGTTAAATAAAACAAATATCCCATAATCACATTGTGAGAAAAGTTTGTTTTTTTGCAATTGTTGCAAATTTATTAAAAAATAAAAAACTTGAAAAATCACATGTACAGAAGTATTCACAGCCTTTGCTCAATACTTTGTTGATGCACCTTTGGCAGCAATTACAGCCTGAAGTCTTTTTGGATATGATGCCACAAGCTTGGCACAGCTGTCTTTGGGAATTGCTGCCCCTTCCTCTTTGCAGTACTTCTCAAACTCTATCAGGTTGGATGGGAAGCGACAATGTACAGCCATTTTCAGATCTCTCCAAAGATGTTCAATAGAATTTAGGTCTGGGCTCTGGCTGACCCACTCAAGGACATTCATCAAGTTGTTGTGAAGCCACTCCATTGATATTTTGGCGGTGTGCTTTGGGTCATTGTCCTGCTGAAAGATGAACCGTCGCCCCAATCTGAGGTCAAGAGCACTCTGAAGCAGGTTTTCATTCAGGATGTCTCTGTGCATTGTTGCATTCATCTTTCCCTCTATCCTGACTAGTCTTTCAGTTGCTGCTGTTGAAAAACATCCTCACAGCATGATGCAGCCACCACCATGCTTCACTGTAGGGATGGTATTAGCCTGGTGATGAGCGGTGCCTGGTTTTCTCCAAACGGAACACCTGGCATTCACTCCAAACAGTTGTATGGTAGCCACTCTACCATACAGGCCTGATTGGTGGATTGCTGCACAGATGGTTGTCCTTCTGTAAGGTTCTCTTCTCTCCACAGAAGAATGCTAGAGCTCAGACAGAGTGACCATCAGGTTATTGATCACCTCCCTGATTAAGGCCCTTGTCCCTCGATCACTCAGCTTAGATGGGCGGTCAGCTCTAGGAAGAGTCCTGGTGGTTTCAAACATCTTCCACTTACGGATTATGGAGGCCACTGTGCTCATTGGAACTTTCAGAGCAGCAGAATTTTTTCTTTACCCTTCCTCAGCCTTGTGCCTCAAAATAATCCAGTCTCGGAGGTCTACAGACAATTCCTTTGTCTTCATGCTTGGTTTGTGCTTTGACCTGCACCGTCAACCCTGGAACTTATATAGACAGGTGTATGCCTTTTCAAATCATGTCCAATCAACTTAATTGACCACAGGTGAACTCCAATTAAGCTGTTGAAACATCTCAGGAGTGATCAGTGGAAACAGAATGTACCTGAGCTCAATCTAGAGCTTCACAGCAAAGGCTGTGAATACTTCTGTGCATGTGATTTTTTTCAGCTTTTTTTATTTTTAATAAATTTGCAACAATTTCAAAAACTCTTTTTTCACATTGTCATTATGGGGTATTGTATGTAGAATTTTGAGGAAATACATGAGTTTAATCCATTTTGTAATAAGGCTGTAATATAAAAAATTAGGAAAAAGTGAAGCGATGTGAATACTTCCCGGGTGCACTGTAAGATTGGATAACATGGTCTGATCTTAATTCAAAATCCCTCTTTTACATTTGAAAAACCCTTTTCCAGGTTTTGATCTGTGATCCAAAATCCCACTGAATTTCCTTTGAAAAACTGGGCCCAGCCCTGCGTTTGGAGCAGCGGTCCTTCTCTGTTGAAGCAGTTTGACATCCACAATATTTTTAACCACATCCCTCTGACCATTGTTTTGTTATGAGGGAGTAATGCACAAAAGTAAAGCCCCGCCCCATTCCATTTAAGTGGGAAGTACATCAGCATACTGAAACAGAAGTCTCAGCAACTTCTTGGTGCACGCTGACTTTAAAACAAAGTAGACCAGTGAAATTTTGAGATTTTATATTTATTTATGTTTGATATGGAATAATGCAGTACTCATTAAGAATCATATACAATTATAATAACTCATTGATTCATTTTCTTTTTGGCTTAGTCCCTTTATTAATCAGGAGTCGCCACAGCGGAATAAACCACCAACTTATCCAGCCCTTCCAGCCGCAACCACACACTGGGAAACACCCATACACTCTAGCATTCACACACATACACTACGGCCAATTTAGCTCATGTCTTGACTGTGGGGGAAACCCGAGCACCCGGAGGAAACCCCACGCCAACATGGGGAGAACATGCTAACTCCACACAGAAATGCCAACTGACCCAGCCGGGACTTGAACTAGCGACTTTTTGCCGTGAGGCGACAGTGCTAATCACTGAGGCACCGCCCCTCCTTACAATATATTATAATATATATTCTAATAGTCTTTAATTAATGGTGCAATCCTCTTTAATTTACCTGCAAAATTAAAAGCTT